TTAATGGAAGAATTTTTACATATTTCAGTACTTTTGATCATGTTAATATAGTCTGAGCCTAATTCTGTCCTGTTTAGCCATTTGAAATGAGCTTTGGATAGGATTAAATCATGCATGAATATGCTCTCAACTATTATTATTATAAATACAAAATGTATTATTTGACGTCATGTGTAATCCATTTCAGCTAAATGTATACCAAACATACTGTATATATGCAGAAAACTTTAACGCAGGCCTCAAGAAGCAAGTCAAGAGTAAAATATATTTAGCAAAAAACAAACAGACGAAAGGAGGAAATAATCAAGCTAAATTGATGCTAACATATGTTGCCTGCTGGCCTATGGCTTTAACATTTTACTCATTTTTTCCCTTTTGATCACTCATCAAACACACACACAGACTCACACCCACACACACATAGACTAAAAGTTACACTTCATGCACATTACTCATACGCCCCAGTGGGCAAATTTATGAACTCGCCAGCACACTCGAGGCACCTACACACACATACATAATCTAGAAAAAGCACACACACACACACATGCGCGCTTTAAGTGCGTTTGTGTGTTTATTAGAGAGTATGCTGAAAGTAAAGCAGCTTGTAAAATATGCCAAGGGTTAAAAAGTGTGCAGCGCATATAATTCATACAACATGAAAGTGGGCAAACAAACACGTTGTAGAAGAAGGAAGCCATGGAAGCCAAAGGGGCAAAGCACAAAGCAGCAGCAGCAGCAGTGACAGAGACTGGGTGCAAAAAGGCTAAAAGTACTTGGATATTTAACTGGGGTCGAGGCGCAGCTCGCAGCACAAGAAGAGCGCGATAAAGAGCGCTTAAAGTTAACGAGCGCCCAGAGGGTTGCGATACGATATGAAAAGCCGCAAGAAAAACTTAACTCACGGTTCAACTACAGCAATGGGAAACGTAGGTTTACGATTTAGTTGACTCAGTACCACACTTAATTGTGATAGAACTTACTTATGAGTATATTCTCTTACATATGAGAACTCGAATTTACATCAGAAACTTCTAGAAATAGGCACAAGTGCGTTACGGCATTTTCAAATTATATTCAAGTTTGTCAAGCTTGTCCGAATCGAATTGTTAGGTGAATGTTTATGTCGGCAAGCCAATCAATTAGCCAGAAGGTCAACCTTGATCAGTCAGTCCGTATTAATATGGTATGGTATTAAATTAATATGGTAGTCAATCAAATTGTATATAAGTCAATCATTGTCTTATTTTGCTCAATCATTCAATGATTCAGTTAACCACTCAACTTAGCTGTCCGTCAATTGATTAATCCGTCAATCATTTCCTCTGCTGGCTAATTCAATCGCTCAATCAGAAGACCAATCAATCCGTCAATCAGCAATCAATTATTCGATCCATACCTCAATCAGTTCGTCAACCAGTCAGCTATTTAGTCAAAGTCTGCCCAAAAAACAGTAAAACAGCCGTCAATCGCCATCAATCAATTATTAGTAGTCAAGTCATATAATCCCACCCAATCAATCCGTCAATAAACTAGCATTACTCATGTATGTATATATCAATCAATCAATCTTAACCAAATAAGTATCTAGTCTCTGACTCAGAAAATCAACTAATTTATTTGTTATTCATCAATCAGTTTTCAATCAATCTTCCCATCAATCTTTGAATGAATTATGAATCTACCCAGTAAATCATTTATTTCAGTACTCAATCAACTTTCTACATCATTACAATCTGTTATTCCATTCTAAATATCATCTATAAGAACCGAATCTAAAGCATTTACCTGTCGAACTCTTCCCCCAATCGAACAATTAAGGCAAAACGCTCCAGCTTTGGCTAAGCCTCGCTTTAGATCCGACCTCCACTCCGATGGTCATTTGTATTGTGCTTGAAGTGGATTTTCCGGTCAATTATATGCTGGAAGTTGATTCTTTTTCTCTCTTTTTTTTTGCTAGAGGCCCGCATAAATGAACTGCTAAAATGCTAACAAAAACACAAACAAAATGTTTTGCCCACTTCCGAAACCTCTTTTTTGTCTTTTGGGACTTGCTGGCAAAAAGGACAACGTGTATGTGTGTGTGTGTGGGTGGGTGTGAATGTCATAGTGTGTGTGTGTGTGTTTGTGTTGCCGCAAATTCAGTTAGCCACTTAATTTTGTGGTTAACACACACAGAGAGGCATATGTGAGTATCTGTGTGTGTGTGTCTGCGTGTGTGTGCGTGGCAGTTAATTGAAATCTCAATTGTTTGCTTTGTTGTGCGGCAGCTAAACACAATTTAATGTGAGCCATTAAAACAATACATAAACAATCAATTAGCCAACAAAATTTCAACAATTTCTAAAACAAACAGAAATTTTATATCAATATTTAATTTTTGCTTGAAAATAAAACAAAAATTTTATATGAGTATGACAAAAATAAATATATATAAATTTCTATTTAAATATGCTTGAACTGCATTGCATAAAGAACATAAGTTTTGTTTAAATAAATATATTAATTTTATTTTATTTTATTTTTAAGGTTTGTTTTAAATAACTCCATAAAACAGAAATTGTATTTTGTAATTTATTAAATGTATATTTAAATATGCTTCAAAATCTTTTCGAATATGTAAATTATTTAACGCTGATTCGATACTTTTGAAAGGCAAATCTTGATGGCTTTTGGAGCGCGCAGGCATTGTCTTTCGCGTTTATTACCTTTGAATTTGGAAAGGTAGGTGTTCGATTTATGGCACGGCCATTTGCATTTGTATGAACGCTTAATTTTGCCGCTTGATTTTGTTGGCCATGAATTAAAACATCAGAAATATAATAAAAATCAAAGTTGATTTGTTCATTTGGCAAGCGGTAGGACATTTTATGCGTGTTCTGGCACATCAAACTCTTTAAATATGCAAATAGATGATTTACAGTTGATTGGAGTTGAATTTACATTTATTTGAGATGTACAACAATATTTTGTTTTGAAGCTTTTATTTCTTGCCAAAATCTAGTTTATTTTCCAATGCTTCGCATCAACTGAACTGGATTGGCTGCAATTCGTTGCGGTACTTTGCCCATTCCAGTGCATCAGAAAGCATTTGCCAGCAGCTGTTTTCTGTTTACAGCTCGTTCACAAAACTCTTTCTCCCTCTCTCTCTCTCCCTCTATCATCTACAGCCTTAAATCAACTCTAACGAGGCTCTCTCAGCTTACGAGGCTGCTCTCTCGCAGCTGCTCTCTCGCAGCTGCTCCCTCGCTCTCTTGTTGGCACCTCATGTATTATCTGACCACATAACTCTAGCACATATTATTTCCTCCGCCCACCTGCTCACCGCAACTTGTAAACAATTATGGCCGACGCCGTTGTGCTCAATATTACCCAACACAACCGCAACCACAACAACAACAACAACATCGGCAACAAGAGCGAAAAAAAATCCCAAAATGGCTACACAGAAGCGACGATCGTCCAATGAGCGGCGTTGTTCCAAAAACCTGACATGTGTGTTCGTGTGTTTGTGCCTGTGTGAAGATTTGCTTTTGTAAAGAAATAAATAAACATTTTTATTGAGAAGTTTCGAGAATTCATTGAAGCAAACATTATGCTTTAGAAAAATGTATATTTCAGTTCCTTAACATTAACATAAATTGAATAGTTTTGAGCACTCTGTAAATGTGGCGTGTGAAACAACTTAACGCTGCAATGTTTATGACAACGGCAGGCACAAAAGGTACGAATGTGTCTACTACTAAATGAAATTTAGTACTTTTTTATAGTGCTGCCTCAGCAGCAAGCATGCGCGCTCAGCAAAGAGAGTCGGAGCCGTAAAGCTTGCGTTTGTGCTCTCACTCTCTCACTCTTACGCTCTGCCTCTCAACTGCGCATGACATTTATTATGTTGTCGCTCCGAGCACAACAACAAAAGCACACTTGTTGAAAATGAAAACGACCACAACAAAGAGAACACAAGCGCACATGCACACACACATACACACAAACAGATGCAAACACAAACGCACTCACGCGCGCATTGAGTGTGTGAAACTGAACTGGTTTCGGAGCAAGTTGTGCCATGCCCGAGCGTTCCGCATGCTTTGCACTCTCGCAACTCTCAACCGAACGACTACAGACGCAAGAGCGGAGCGAAAAAATGAATGAGTATGAATGTTGTTTATAGATTTTTAGTCGAATTCTGTTATTTCACGTTAAAGTACGTACGTGCAAAGCGAACGGATTGCGAACGGAGTGGAATTTGTTTAACGTGTGCCGCGTGTCAAATAAATACGTAACATATTGCATACACACACATACACACACACACACTTGCTCTAGTGCAAGCAAGGCAAAGAAAATTAAACAAGATCAAGTTGTAAAAAAAAAAAAAAAAAAAAATATTTAAATATTTTTTAACAAATTTCAAGTGATGTTTTTTCAAAGAGGTGCTTTACTCCTAGACTGAACCACATTTAGTCTTAAAAAATAAAAAAGAATAATATTAAAATAAAAAGAAAAATCAAAATTCTTGAAACTTTCGATTTACGTTTATAGATTATATAGAGGTCAAGCCCCGCCCCCTAAGCCCCCCTTTAGCAACACCAAGCCTCACGTACGTGCCTCGTCATAAAACACGCCCTAAACGAAGGCATTCAGCCATAGCCAAAACCAAAGAAAATCTGAAAAATCAGAGGAAAGTAATTCAATCTGGAAATTAATGCACTTTTCACGCAACTTTTGGCGCGCAACGCAAAACAGAAAAACAACAACAACAAAACAACCAAAAACAAAAAATTAACTCAAATAAAATATGTATTAAGCAGCTGCAATTATACGACTTAATGAATTTATTACACAATTAGGCAGCAGCAAATAAATTAAATATGCCGCACAGCTCGGAATAACTGAATAGCAACAGCAACAACAACTGAAATCCCCTCTTGAATTATTAATATTATAAATAACAAGCCAAAACAACAACAACAACAACAACTGCAATAATAAGTAAATAAATAAATAATATATTTAGCAGTAATTGTTGCAATTGGAGGCAAATTAAATAAATCAAAAGCCGCAACGGCTTAAGCGAGGCGCAGGCGCCGCCTTTCACTCGAGTTGGCAGCACTGCACGCCAGCCTCTGCGCTACATTGGCAGCACTGTTCACTGGCTGAGCTAACCTAAAGCGCTGCAGCTTCTTCTTCCCACACTCAAGCCAAAGAACAGCCTTCAAAGTGGATTTAACCAACTACAACAAAATGCTGCAGTCCAGCAATCATCACTATCTACGGCCGGATTATATGGCAGCGACGGCAGCTCCAACAGCGGTAAGTACCGGATAAACGGGAGACATTTGTATATAGAAGCGAATATATCACAGAGAGGGTGTATACTGCAAGGTAGAGTCTAGCTGGATGTATCCAGAGATTATTGAGTTGTGCGTTTTAGAGGAAATAAAGTCACTTAGCTTGTTATCTTAGCCGGTCAAAGTTTCTCTGATAAGTTCAAGCTTTAGCTTTAGTAGAAAAAGCATTTTTAGTCGTTATAACAATATTATATTACATACAGTTTTACAGTTTTACAGTTATACAATTTTATACAGGTTTATTATATACTGTTTAATTGGCTTTTTAATCTTTTCTTATGGACAAATACAATCATAGAATGGTAGATAGCTTACATTAAAAATAGTCTGTATCCCTTATATCTCTCTATTGAGCTAGACAAATTACTATAATCTTATTTACGATTAAATAAGAAATACTATAATATATTTTAGTATTATATATATTATATTATGGTGTTAGAATCACGAACTCCGATTAATTTAAGTAGAGTCTTAGCCTGAAGGGAATCTTATATATAGAGTATAATACATTTTTAAGAATTGGGTCGAATTTTTTATTTTTTTTTCTCACTATGAGTTCAACTCGAATCATGCTATATATTTTGCAACTCAATCAAAATATAATCAAAGTCTCTGGAGATGGACTCTACTTAAACTGATCTGAAGTGTACCCCACAAAATATCAGACTTTAATTTAACTTCCTTTCTGTTTTTTGCTATTAAAACTTTAGTTTAAATGATTCCAGTTAAATAATCTATGCAAAACTGTTGTTAAATCAAATTTTATGCAATTATTTATTATTATATTCGATCAATTAATTATACTATGAATGTGGGTGTTCCTATTTGTGTGTGTGTGTGTGTGTTTATTCAGCTCAGCAAGTTCGAGTCGCAATTTATATCGCATTGAGGTGAGAGACTTTGTTTGTTATTCGATTGAATAATAGATTCTTGTTTGTGTTTATCTGGCTGGGCCGGGGCGGTGTCGGTAGGGGCGACAGTGGGTGCAATATATCACAATCTGGCTCTGATATGGCCAGCTTATGGAGAGCGCAGTATGAGTTGCGAGCGTTTAAATAAAATTAGTTGCCATTATTTATGAACGTATGATATTTCATAAATAATAGAAATGTCGACAGAAAAGCAATTACGGCCACTTGCCGCAGGCAACAATTTACGACGACAATCAGCAACTCCTACACATGGTTGCCGGACCGTACCGAAAGGTTGCCAGACTGCCTTAGCTTTAGCTGGAAACTGTTTTGCAGCACGAATCCGCATTCGTCGCCCCATAAATTTATCAATACGCGCAAGTTTCATTGTGAACTCTGAAATTGCAGTCGAGCTGAGCAGCGGCGGTCTGGCAACGCTGCACTCGAATTTATATCTTCAGCAAATCTGAATTTATAATGGCACACAGAACAAATGCAATTTCACAAGTGCCGAGGCAGTTAATCAGAGTCCGAAAGCCTTTTGCCGACTGCTTCGCTCTCGCTCTCGCTCTCTGCTCTCGGCAGCCCCAAAAACTCGTTGAGACCAATAAATTTTCATTTTAATTTGTGAGTAAATATTCACACTATTCGTTCCACGAACGGATGCCAGCTCCTCGGCGCTACAATGAATGAGTGCTGCATCCATTAAAATGGAGGGAAAGCTATATACATACAAACATCATCTTATATCTCTACTTTTTGGAGCAAAAAAATACTCCATACTATAGTTAATAGAAGATTTTTTTCCAAGAAAGATACTGAAGAATACATTATCTCTTAAGGTTTATAAATCGAATCAAAAGATCAACTTTATTGAAGATTCTTCACTTGACATATTGTCCTTACTAGTTCAATAAATGGAATCAGGTTCTAGTTCACATGTTGTCGTTTAGGATCAATTTCTGGCTCATTCTTTCAGTCTATTCATGTCATCGTTCACTGTACTTAACGTATGCTATTAAAGACACCCTTATAAACTCTTTACTTTACTAGCTCAAAGCTCATTCTTTGAACTGATTTATTGAACACATTTAATGGTATTCATTTAAATGAATCACTTCGTAGTGATCGATAAGATATGCATATACATTCATTTTCTGTCATTGTGTGACTCACTGTTTGTATAAATAATGAACTAGTTCGTGTGGAATTGAATAGCTCTAAAACTGAACTTTATAATCTTTCGGCTCTATTGAGTCTTGTTAAGATGGTATGCCATATTTTAATTAAAATATGAAATTGATTACATTTTTTGTAAATATGAACTAGTTCGGTTGTTGTTAAAAATATTTTACAAGTCAAATGAAATGACATTTAAACAAATTAAAATGACTAGTTCAAAGATGAACTTTTAATTGTTCGAAATTCATCTGTGATTTAATAAAATAAACTGAAATTGAAATATACTATGATTCAAAATTAATTTTGTTAGCAATTAAATGTGAGTCACTTTCATGAACTAGTTCATTTGTGATTAAATGAAGTTATTACTGAAAACTCTGATCCGAATAGCTCATGAGTAATGTTCACTAGTTCCGGTTCCATTGAATGAACTAGTTCCACTGAGCTTATCTTATGAGATTCATTTCAATGAACTGGCTCATTTGTTACTTCAACGTTTTCTACAATATATTCAAGTTATAGATTATGAGACTTGTTATGAACAGATATTATCATTAGTTTGTATAATATTCAATTTAGATTCATTTCAATGAACTAGTTCATATTATTTCCGCATTACACCAAGACATTCTAGATTTTATGCCTTATTGTGAGACTTATTCAATGACGCTTGGGACTAACTAATGGTTCCAGATAGTTCACCGCATTGTAGCTCAGCGAGTTCGTAGCTCTGATTGAAATGGTCGCTCCATGACTATGCAGGTGTGCTCTGAGACAAATGGAAAGTACTTGCAAAGTATTAACTGTCATTTCTCAATTATAAATTATTTGTACGATTTAAAATTTATGACGTTGTCAACTTAAGTAAATTTATTTACTCAACTGCTAGCGACTGACTAACCCTTTGCGCAGCATTTAGTAGCTATGTGTGTATTAGTGAGTGTGTGTGTGTGTGCATATGTAAATACTAGGCAGCGAATGCCCATAAATTATTCAATGATTAATGACACCTGCCCGCTATTAATTATAATAAAATCAAATAAACTAAGCCTGACAGCTGTCAGTGTCATCGTTTGTGCCGTTTGTAGACGGCGAAAAACTATGCCACAAAAATGTTGCCGTTGCTGTTGTTGTTGTTGTTGTTGTTGCTGTAGCTGTTGCTGTTGATAATTTGCTGTCACATTTGAGAAATGATCAAGCTTGACTCACACGTAAAAAAATCTCTCTCTCTCTCTCTCTCTCTGTGTGTGTGTGCCATGTTAACGTGAAAGTCTAAAAAAAAGCTCAACTGTTCGGGAGTGTAAATAAAGTGCAAATGTCAGCTGACCGCAAACAAAAAAAATATAATTAAATGTGTCAGTCAAGCAGCCATTTATGCAGAGACCGCAGAGCCAAAAAAAAAATGAGCTTTCCAGCCAGCCAGTCAAGCAGTCAAGCAGTCATCAGTCAGCGCACGGAAAAAAAGCAACTCTGGCTGACACCACACAAACTGATTCGAGTCAGAGAGCTAGTTCATTCCTCGCCTGGGTTCAGCTCACTTTGTAATGGTGGTTCACAGTCGGTTGTCAGGCTTTTTGTCTCTCTGTCTGTCTGTTTGACTGTCTGTGTGTGCCTCGCTTGCGTGTGGCTCTAATTAAAGTAAAAAAAACAGCAGCAGCAACAACAACAATGAATTGGCCAGCATGTTAGTGATAAATTGCTAAAAAAAGAGCTGTCATGTTAATTTTTCGTGCATACTGCATAATAGTTTATTTCTTTCTCTAAAAAAATCTCTCTCTCTCTCTCTGTCTCTCTTTCATCTTCTGTTGCCTAAAGTGTTAATTAAAAAAAGGAACATCACAAATATCTCTTTTAGTCTGTGTGAGTGTGGGCAGGTATAGACAGAAAAAAACACACACATACGTATGTATAGCATGTAGATCACACTTTAAATGAAGCCGAGCGAAACTCATTTGTCAAAGCTGTTGTAAGTGCGTTTAGCTATAAATTAAAACTCTAGCTTGAAATTGGCCAAGAAATTATTTTTAGCTGTCATTGAAAAGGCAAAAGTAACAAATTTTCAAACATAAAAAAAATAAACCCAAGGCCATTAGGAAATCCATTTAAGCTTACCGTTATGTTTGTTGTTTTAAATAAATTTAAAGCTGAATAAAAAGTATTTATTGATAATACTTTGTCAGTCTCCGAGTAAATTAAGAGCTTAATAAAAATAAGCCTTTTTTTAAGTTTGCCCAAAGAAATATGCCTTATGGCATTCTCACTCAAGTCTGTTCTAAGAACTGAAATTTAACAGATCTATGTTAAAACATCTCTAAAGCTGACCGCCTTGGATATTTTATTGCCTCACATTCCGACTTGGGGTATGCAAATCTCGTCTAATTCGCGCTTACTGAATGCTGCTGGACAGTGTAATTAAGCTTTATTATAGTCACAATCTCTTGGCTTCAGAAATCTTTCAGCCAAAAAAAAAAAAAACTACAAAAACAGACACAAAAGAACTGTTTCAAATGTGATTAAAGCTCATTCAGGTTCCACTCTTTATTATAGCACCGACTTAATAAAACATAGCGAAATCTTTGTTAGAGAATATAAAACGATGGGAAGTTCCCAGCAGATATAGGCGAAAATAGATTCGAATGACTCATAAAATAGTTTGATTAAAATCCCCATTAGAAGAGCCCAAAATAAATGTCGCCTGAATAAAATTTAACTGGCTCGATTAGGGAATACTTAAATGGTTTGGTCTCTCTTTTATGGCACTCATAATTTTTATAGCGATCAATTTCGTTAATAACCCCAACTTTGTTGAAGACTATAAATAAAACACCAAGCGGCGCACAAGAGGGCGAAATTGGAGGAAAACATC